TCAGTGAAACAGTCTAGACCTGGAGATTTCTCCTTTGGGAGTTTTTAAATTATGAATTCAACTTCTTTAATAATTACAAACCCATTTGAATTATCTATTACATATTAGGAGTTGTGGTTTGCATTTTTGAGGAATTCGTCCATTCTGAGTAAGTTTTTAAATTTATGTATGTAGAGTTGTTTGTAGTGTCTTCTTATATCCTTTTGATGTCTGGAAGGTCTTTAATAACATCTCCTTTTTCATTCCTGATATTGGCAATTTTTTCCTTTTTCAGTTTTGCTGGAGATTTGTTGATTCTATTGATCTTTTCAAAGAACTAGCTCATGTTAGGAAAAAAAGAAAGAAAAAAGAACCAGCTCATTTCATTGATTTTCTATATTGGTTTTCCTTCCTAGTTCATTTATTTCTGCTGTTTCTTGTTTTCTTCCTTCTGCTTGTTTTGAGTTTATTTCATCCTCTCTACTTTCTTGAAGTGGGACCTCACCTTATTGATTTGAGACTTCTTCTTTTCTAATGTATGTATTTAGTGCACAAATAAAGTCAGGATAAAAATAATAATGTGGACAATTTTAAGGTCCTTTTATAGATAAAGAAGTAATTTTCCTAGTAAGTAACAAGTTTCTTCAAACTGATAAGAATAAGCCAACTAATACAGAAATGAACAAAGAATAGGAACAATTTAAAGAAAGGAAATACTCAAATTCATTCATAATAAATGAACCACAAAAGGCAATTAGATTGTCAAAGACCAAAAAGAAACCAAAAACAAAACAAAACAAAACAAACCAAAACAAAGCAAAACTATTAATACGGCGTATTGGGGAAGTGGGAATCAGAAACTCAAATATGGCTGGTGGGAGTATAAACTGTCACAGCCTTCATGGAGAGCAATTTGGCCACATTCCCTTTGACCCAGAAATTCTGTATCCAAGAATTTATCCTATAAATAGTCTTACAAGTGTGAGAGATTATGTATATCCAAGAATATGTATTGGAGCAATTTTCCACATCCAATGATTACAAATATCCTACATGTCTAAGAGTGGAGGATTGAGCACATAAATATGATATGTTCATACAATGAAATACTATGCAGCTGCTAAAAGCAGTTTTACATGAGCTAATATAGAAAGATATCTAAGATGTTTGTTAACCAAGAACAGCAAGGTAGGTGAAAAATATGTATAGTATGTTGTCGTTTTCAAAAAATGTGTATCTATGTAGACACAGCCAGTCTCTGAAAGGATACACAACACACTGCTAACAGTGGCTGGCCAGGGAGAGGGGCTAAGTGGAACTGGGAAGGGGGGTACAGGATTGGGAGGGGAATTTACTCATATATACGTATACATATTATTCATATAAACTTCTTAATGTATACTCTTATTATACACTCCTTTGCATCTTTTGAATTTCATATTATGTGAAGGGACTATCTATCCAAAAAAAGTAAAATAAAATTTTTAAATGCTTAGCTTAAGTAAGAACCTCCAGAAAGAAATAGAGACAGAGACTAAAAAGTCTTTGTTCCCACTGCACGGATTAAATATCTTGGGGGAGGAGGGACATGAGCCAGGACTCAGGAGTACTTTGATTTTTTCTGTCTTCAGAAAATGCACTTATAGACTCAGAATTCCAAGGCAAGAAAGTGTTAGAGATTCCCCAGTCCCACTTTTATTCTGTGGCCAGAGGCAGGACAATCTGAGAATAAGCATTTGCTGAGAAGAAATCTGTAAACACTCCTCACGCAGACACTAAGATAGGAAGGCCAAGAGATAGCATTTTGGGAGCCAATGAGCAACCCCAAACATTCCTTCTGGTCATCAGTATGACATGCTCTGCCTGCCCCTTATTACTGGGAAGCACATTCCATTGCCCACTGTTCCCCCTGTAACCTAGGCCTCGTTCAGAGGTACCAGCAGGTGTCTGGCCTCTAGAAGCTGGAGGTAGTACCTCGGATGCCCAGCAACCTGGGAGTGGCCCCATCCATCTGTTACTGAGAGTCACTCTTCTTGCAGCCTGTGGGATATCAGGTATCGCTTGATCATGGTTCCTCCCCAGAGCACCAGGTGTCCTTCCTGGAACCGTCTTACCCCTGGGTCAGGTGGAGAGTCTTTACCATGGATTCTAAGTCTCCATTCTCACTTAACCTTGAAGTGCTGTGAGCAATGATGATAAAAACATTGGGGGTAGTTATAACCTCCTCATCTTTAAGGTTCTCTGTCTTTATATTTGTTCATCTCTCTTTAAATCACAGCTCTCATTTGATATGGCAACCTCATAGGGCAGATATGATCCCCAGTTTTCAAATGACAGTAAAATATTTGTACAAGGATTTGTTTTCCAAATGCTTTCCCACACGTTATCTCATTGTAGCCCTCCGATGCCCTCATATAGGCAAGGAAAGTTTCATTAACCCAGATATACAAATGGGGATATTAAAGAAGCAGCTGTGGAACAGTGGGTCTTGGGGATAAGAACATGTGGGTTTGAATACTTCGGGATAAGAACATGGGTTTATTCTACCTGTTTCCTCCAGTGTGAAAATGGGGATGATGATATCTGCATCCTTCATTATTAGACTGGATTACTGTTAAGATTAAATAACTGTGGTTTGAAAGGGTTTCAAGAATTAGCATTCTAATGATTTCTTGTTTCTCAGTCTGTTCTAGCATTCAAAATTTATTTGTATTTGGAAAATGTTTTGCAAAGGAGAGAATTATGTAACAAACCTGACATGCCCATCGTTGTCTGCAACAGTCATCAGTACAAGACCAGTCCTGTCTCAGCTATCCCCCCACCCACCTTTTCTTCTTTTGCTTTATTGACCTGTTTTTAAAATAATGAAGTTTTCCCTAATATCCTCAAAATGGGTTGTTTGGAGTTTTAAGAGATATTCTTAGGGGTTTGTAACATATTTGTTATGTTTCAATCTATTGCAGTTATGATCCCTGTAGATGTCCAGGTTGACCAAGGAAACCTTATTCTGGATGGCTTTTGAGACCTTTTGGCATGACTCTTAGAAGATGTCTTTGATGCTGCATTTGATCTTTTGGTTTGATGAGGTGTTCTAGGTTTATCTTGTACAACTGCTGACTCAGACATTTCCCCAAAGAAGCCTGTTCCTTTGTGGGGGGGGGGGGTTAGTATTTAGAGTTCCTAAACTGATTGCCAGGGGTGCTCAGTTCTCCTGGGACGATCCTTGTTTCTTGGTTTTACAGTGGACAGGGCTAGGGAGTACGCTTTGTGTGTGCACGTGTGTACATGCATGCAAGAATGTGTGCAAGATAAAACATAGGAAGTTCATACTGAGACTCCAGTTAACAATCAGGGCTACAGACTTTTTACCTGATCTCATCGATCTTGCATCTGTATCACCTTTCAAGAAGAAACTTTTTTTCAGCAACATTAGTAGTATTATTCCTTTGACTTATCTCATAATACATTACAAAAGTCCCAGAATAACAATAAGAAGAACAGAATAGTACCATCAATAATATGATTATTGAAAACAGTTTAGGGTTGGAGGGGCTCAGGGAATGGGGTAGTTCCTTTTATTCTTAGGTATATTCTTCCAAGGATATTCAAATTACTGTGTTTTAATTTTTCTATGTGTAGTGCCAGCCAACTGGACACATGAACTCATTTGTTGCATTTTATTTTTTGACATTTCTTTTAAAAAATATTAATTGTGCTTTTATAATTTTGTCAGATACTTACGTGTTCCAAAGCAAATTCACACAACAAGGTCTATTTAAAACCCAACTTTTATTCCTATCCCATCCACGTCATTCCTCCCCCTCTCTGTAGGTCTTTTAAATTGTAAATTTTTTAAAAGATTTATTTATTTGTGTGTGAGAGAGAGCGCATGTGAGGTGGAAGGACAGAAGGCGAGGGAGTCTCAGGCAGACTCCTCTTTGAGTATGGAGCCTGATGTGGGGCTCGATCTCATGACCCTGAGCCAAAACCAAGAGTCTGATGCTTAACTGACAGTGCCACACAGGCGCCCCTAAATTATATTTTATGCTTTATCCTCTTATTGTCTTTTAAAAAAAATAAGCAGGTACATATTTATCTTCATGTCTCTCTCCCTTTCTTAAATAAATAATAGCATATTAAACACACTTTTCTCTATCATGTTTTTTCCACTTAACAGTAGAGATCACGACATAGGCATATAGGATATATTTCAAACAGATTCCTAGAACTGGGATTGCCAGTCAAAGAGTGAGTGCATGCGTATTTTGATACATGTTGCCACATTCCCCTTTACAAAGGTGGATTTTACCATTTCCTGCAGACACATTTTAATGTTAAAGCAAGTGATTAAGTGAGATATGTTATCTGCACCAAGAAAGGTTAAATGGTTGCCCAGAAGGACTGGCACTGGGCTTGAACCTATAAGTTCTAACTAGTAGTAACTTCTCCGCATTTTACAGATGAACAAACTGTGAGACACATGCAGGGAAGTGATCCACCCTAAATGACATAACAAATTAGAACTTCAAATCCATGTGCCCTGACCCTAAATTTAGATCTCCTTTCAATGTTATAGATGGATTTATGGTGAACTCAGTTTGATTATCTGTAGGTGGGGAAGAAAAACCCAATCTCTCTCCTAAGTTAAGACAATTAATGAGATAATTATGGGTTAATTCCCCCATGGGTATAGGAGAAATGCTCGAAGATAGGACTTAACTCCTTTAGGTGAACAGGGAATCAGCAGTTAGTTTATGATGTCAGGGCACTAATAATGATCTTATGGATGAGAGAGACCACCAAAGTCTGGCATGATTAGGCACCTTGCAGAATTGCTCTCCTCTCTTGCCCAGTGCCTTGAATTTCTTTAAACAAAGATGTCATTATGCTAAGCAAAACTTTCCAAATGGGTGTGGACAACGATGTAATTTCCCAGTGAATGAACAGACTGCAAACCACAAAGCCTTTTCTTTTCCTTCCCAAGAGTGACCCTGGGGCTCTTTGTGCTTGCTTTGTGACAGGTTGATTGACTTATGTGCAATTTGGGACCCTGGAGCTTTCCTTCCCTCTGCAAGCTGGAAGAGCGCCTCTGGTATTGCAAGAAGGAGGCTGAATGAGGCAGAGACAGTGAGTGGGGTGAGTGGGGTGAGGGGGGCTTGGCCCGGTGCATGCGGCTCAGAGACGGGGGTAGGGGGAGATTCTTGCCTCTCCTCTTCTCTTTGATGAGCCAGGGTTCTTTGGCTTCCCGAGTCCCGTAAAAGGACATCTTCTTCCTTCTCCCGGGAGCTGGCTGGCCACAGAGCCAGACCTCCAGGCTCCCCTTTGCAAGGAGACTGGCACCAGGCAGCTTTCGCTCCTTTTCTCCAGCGATGCAGTCAGTGGCATTAGACTTGTCATTGTCCAACTGTCCACCGGAATTGAAAAATTGGGAAACAGCTTGGTGATCCGTAGCCCCTGCCCCGCCCCACATAGCCTGGCCTCCACAACCTGGGAGCCTCCTGAGTGACAGCCTCGGCATATGGGGGGGCAGTCTGGAGAACCCCTCCTCTGGGCGGGGCATTGGGCCCCAGCAGATGGACCACTGTCCATGGCCCAGTGAGCAACCCGAGGCCGCATCACTGAAGCAGACCCTGTGTGCACGTCTGCATTGTTCCATTCTCAACTAGAATTGCCCTGCCCGCGGCTGCTGTTTGAGTCTCAGGCTGGGGGGAGGCAGGGGAGGAAACGTGTGACGTGAAGGCTGCAGTTTTCACGGAGGAGTCACTGGTGACAGATCACAAGCTAGTGGCCTGGAGGCCTGAACAGAGAAAGATTTCCTTATTCTTGACTCTTGGCACCTCTGCCTCATGGCATTTTGTCTTTCTCTCTCCAGCCCCCTTTCCAGATGTCTTCGTTCTCCCAGGAGTTGGGAGATGGGGCTGAGGGGTGGGGTGGGCAGGGCTGCAGGGAGGGGGTTGAAAGGGAGCAGAGCTTGCTGATGACGTGGATTTTGGATCTGGACAAAATCCAGCTTTACTTGCTTGGTGACTTTAGGAGTGTTTCTAACTGCTGTAGGCCTGAGTTTCCTCGTTTATGCAATGGGGATAATAATGGACATCTTGTAAAGATCAAAGATGAAATGTACAAAGAGCCCTGCACAGTGCCTGACATGTAGCAGGTGTTTAGTAAAGGAAAGGTATTATTATCTAGCCTATCAACAGAGCTCAGATGTACTTGTCTTATCAAGGTGGTTTCTCTATGGACCCTTTTAGGGCTATGACTTGCCTTTAAAACACTGCCAGCTTTTCAGGGACTGCTCGGGAAATCCATCAGACCACAGGGCTTTTCACTGAATCATTGTTACTAAAACTGAACTTGAACATACCATATGCCTGACCTTGGGGGTGGGAAGCACCATTCTTTTGTTCTGCTGTTTTTGGAGGACCCTGATTGTAAAAGTGGTATTCCAGCTGTTTTCATGGGCATGTAGGGCTCTGAAAAACAGCATGGGAACAGACCTCTGGAGCTGGGGTGGAATCGGGAGGTAGGCAGCGTTGTGTGGCCACGCCCCCTCTCTGGGCGCTTTTTCAGGTACCCTCCCTCCTGTCTGTCCCTGTGCCCGCCGGAGCCCCTCACTGCCCTCTCTGGACACCAGCACTGTAGGTTGCCTCCTGAGGCCCCCACCTTGTCAGGTGATAGCAGCGCAAACTTGTGCTGGCTTGCCCTTCCGAACACTTCCAACCTAACCAGCAATCGCTAATATGGGTTCCAAGCTTAATTTTGATCGTGCATCCATTTAATTACATCATTTGACCTTCATGACCATTCTGTGGTGCGAGCAAGGCTGGGGTCTTCATCCCATTTGAGGAATACACTGTGGCTCAAGAAGTTATTTCTCCCAGGTCCACAAAATTCCTTAGCGGCGGAGCCCATCCTAGAAGTGAGGTGCCCTCAATGACCGCTGTTCTTCTTCCCGTGACCCCACACTGCCAGCTCCAGCCTCAGGCACCGGCACACCCTGAGGGGTCAGTAGGTCCAGGGACTTTCAGATGCACAGAGAAACCTTTAAAAAGAAAAGAAGAGTGCAGAGAGTACATGCAAGCAGGCCCATATGGCTGTTGAGGGAACAGGAAGTTCTGAGAGAAGGGGAGCTGATCCAGGTTTCTTTAGAGGGCGATCACCGTCATCCTTACAGTAATCAACATCCTGAGTGTTCCCCGTATGCACCGGGCACTGTGCTCTGTGCTGACGTCGCTCTTCCGTGTCATCCTCGCAACAGTGAATTAGGGCCCGTTAATTGCTCACATGCTACTGGTGACACAGATGCAGCACGATTAAGGCTGGTGCCCAAAGCTGCACATCTGCGTAAGGGCCAGGCCATGAGTGTGAATCCCAGCAGTCCTGCCCTGGGACCCGCACAGTCGGGTTCGGGGTGGCCGCTTCGGAATCTTCCTGGAAATTCTGGGTCACTTTCACTTGGCCCGCCTCCAGCCAGGTTCCAGGTGGGAATCTGATTTCAGAGCCTGCAGGGGCCAGTCCTCTGTTTCTGGGTCCTTCTTCCCTCTGGCTCTTCCCCTTTTGTTCTGAGGCCACTGCCATCTGGAGCTGCCCCAGGCATCTGCTCTCAGCACACTCCTCCCTCCCTGTGTGATGTCCCCACTCAGCCTAATCTCTCCCCCACCCCCGCTCTCCCCCACCCCAGCGCTACGGCTCTGGGTCCTCACCGGCTCTGGGTCCTCACCGGCTCTGGGTCCTCACCGGGCACTTGGAGCGGACACCCGCCCTCTGAAGCAAGACAGAGAAACCTGCCAGTTCCCCAGGCTTTCCGCTTCCATTCGGTTAATCGCACTCACACTCCTAAGCCCTTCTGCCTGTCGCAGAGAAGCTGGGCCTCCCCCGTGCAGCAGCATTCTAACAGGACAACGCGGGCTCAGGACGCAGGGCTGCAGGTTGATGGAGGAGCGGGGGATCTTTATTAGGAGCTGTTTTGCGTCTCCATCCCCTGCCCCAAGACTGATTCCCGGGCCCTGAGGTAGTACCTGTGCTTAGCCACCCTCTCCTGGGGCGCTGAGGTCTGCAGGCTGGGTGTGGGGACGTGACAACTATTCCCCGAACAGCTGTCTCCCTCGTTTCTCCCGAAGCGATGCCATTTCTTCTCCACCCCTTGGCCTTTGCTGCCACCCCGCTAAGCCCACCTTTTTAGCACAGGCGGGGCTGTTGAGTTTGAGACAACAAGTCACCTCTGGGTTTCTATTTCGAATAAGAGGACCTCATCTCCAGCCAAGAGAGAGGCCATTCTGGTTGCTGACAGATGCGCTTCTCAGGGCATAAGACTCAAAGCTTTCCCCAGCGCCGCTGGAGCCAGTCTTCAGCGTAAGCGCATAGCCGCCTGCACTTCGCACCACACTCCCAGACACATGGCGCATCTTCTCACACAGGCCGCCACTTTCCGGGCCTGTGCCACATACCCTCCTCCAGGCTCCCGTATCTTCACGCCCCCCAGCCTGCAGAAGCCTGCCGGGATGGCAGGGGATCGGGACTGATGCCTGTCTAGGATGTAAATGGAGGGGGCCGGAGAGAAGGAGGGGGAACAGAGGCCACTCCCTCCTGCTGTCTTAGTCCTCTCCTCCATGTGTCACTTTATCAGTCCAACAGGAATTTTTAAAAAATATTTTATTTATTTATTTAACAGAGAGAGACAGAGAGAGAGATCACAAGGCAGAGAGGCAGGCACTGTGACGGGGAAGCAGGCTCCCTGCTGAGCAGGGAGCCTGATGCAGGGCTCGATCCCAGGACCCTGAGATCATGACCCGAGCCGAAGGCAGAGGTTTAACCCACTGAGCCACCAGGTGCCCCCAACAGGAATTTTTTTAAAAATGCAACTGGGGACGTGTTATCCTTGGAATATCAGTGGCTCCACCAGTAAGGAGAGCAGGATGGGAGTTACCTCCGAAGCACTGACGCGGCTCTCCCTCCCGGGGTCTGAAGTGGTCAGTGCCTGGGCAGGTGACCTATGTTGGTTTTAATACTTGGCCACAGAGCCCGTATTTGGTTATTTGCACAGGCATTGTGCATTCTGAAGTTGTACAAAGCAGACTTGTAGATTCGAAAGCCCAGCTCATCCAAAGCCACAGAAGGATACCATACCCTAGCTGTGACTTGGGGAATAGGAGGAAGGACCAGTGGTTTTTGAACGCCAGGTTTGTGCCGGGCCTTGGGTTAGATGCTATACATAGACATTACCCCACTAATTGATGAAAAATGAATAGACTCAAAGCAGTCCATTTAATTCATAATCATCGCAACAACCTTTTAATAAGTGTCTTCATCCCACTCTTAAAGACAAGAAAACTGAGGCTCCAGGAGACAGTAAACACATTGTTGACCACGCAGCAGGTCAGTGGCTGAGGGGGCATTGAAGCCACGTCTCTGTGTCCATGTCCGGTGTGTTTCTCCTGGTCTGCGTGATGTCCTAGTGAGTTCATTGTTCACCTTTATTGATTACACCCAGACCTATTCAGCTTTGAATTGACAAGCCCTTATTCCCACGAAGGACACAGGAACAAGGTAGGAGCTACTGCCCCCACCCTCAGGAAGCTCACCTTCTGATTAAGGGGCTCAAGGTCCTCTCTCCTGCACCCCAAACAAGCTTCCCCTTTAATCTTGTCCCTCTTTTTTTTCCTGGCTTGAGCTCAGTCTGTGGTTTTTAAATGGCTTCAGAACCTTGGTCTGTGAAAGCAGGCTTAGAATCCCACAAACAGAGGACAGAGTAAGCAGCTTAACCCAAGTGATGTGAGCAGACGGATCCAGATGGTAGGTCCTCGGATGAACAGTGGCCAGGAATCCAGATGGGGCACCCCACTCAGGGAACCTGGGAGGCCACCGGTCAGTGCCTGGGGGCGGAAGCTGGATTTGAAAGAATGATGGTTAGGGCTTTAGATGCACAGCGGTCTTCCTTTAGGAAAGCTTCTGAGAGGGTCTGAGTTTGCTACCTGTTCTCTCTACCGATGCCCTCCATATAGCATTTTGCAATTCACTGGGGGGTGGGGGACAGAACTGTGGCTTGCCCAAGGTGGCAGACAAACACTTAGCCCTCCATCTTTTGTTTTAAATCAATATCCAATATATTACATTTCCAAGTCCCCAAA